CTGCAGCCTCCAAGCCCACCGAAATTAATCAAACTAGCCAATGCTAAATCGGCTCACCCTGAATCACCTTTCCTTTCCTGCAGGTAATAAACAACTACACTGAAGGCTCTTAACCATGTTTTCCCCTCACTGCCCCTGCCTCCTGACTGGCCACTGACCTTGGTGCCTCCCCTTGCGGCTTTGCATGGCATATGCTGTGCCTTCTGATGCTAGGGATCCGTGAGTATAAAAACTTCATTCATGACAGCTCTTTCCATGTATACATGTCCTACTACACCTCCCTATAAAACAAATCCTAGGTACATTTTTAAATGTTTCCTTTTGAATTGTGTGTCAAAAGATGGCTTATATCTATTACAAACATTCTAATTTTTAACAGCTTCAAGCATTTTTAACAGATTCAACTCACACTTTCTGGACATTCTAGTAGTTCCTGAGGAAGACAGAAACCATCAAATAGTCATTCATGAATTAATCAATAAAACTCTAATTCTAAAAGAAGTCCCTCAATGTTGCAAGCACACTTGTTATCCCAGTTGCAATCCAAATTATGGCTTTCTGTCAGTCATTAGCTGATTAATAGTCAGGGCCTCCTCTCCTCTCTGCAGGCGCACCCATGCCCTAGGGGTCATGATAGGACATACATCAAAGGGATGTGGGTTTTCCCTGGTGCAAGAGTAGATAGAGGTCTGGGGGTCTCTCTGGCTCCTCTGTCTGGTGGGTCACCCCAGAGTCCTGGATCCACTCAGAAGGGAGAAGTATAAAAGTTCACAGCTTTCTTTCCTTTCAGATGCAAACATTGTTGGGTTTTCTCTGCTAGGCTTTGCTCCATCCTTTTTACCAAGAAAATCAGATCACAGAGCGGCTTCTGGGAGTCCATCCCAGCATGCAGCAGTGCAGACTGCCAGGCAGTGGGAAGTTCTTCTGTAAATGGTTTGGACAAAGTCCCTCGTGTAGCAGTTCATGCCCCTCTCTTCCTGTTTCCGGCCTCACTGAGCCGAGCATCGCCATCCTTCTTGCAGAAAATGTCCACAGACTTACACATTGTTATTTGTTCCCCTTCACAATACATCAAACCCGTGGCTTCATCCTTTCCTCACAGGCCCTATTTTCTGGTCTTTTATCATGTTCATTGCTCCATGCTGGCCCATCTGCTGGGCAGCCATTTGTTTGAGACCTCTATGACCAAGGCCGTCCACGGTTCCCTCCTGAGCTCGTGTGGGTTCTGGGCTTTGATGATCAATCTCCTCCATCAGCAGGCTGGATATTAAGCAGCTGGGACTCTCTCCAGCCCTATCAGAGATTTGCCCAGAAGACAAGGAAGCAATTTCAGAGACAAGAGGAAATTGCTTCCGAGACTCCATCAGGTTCCATCCAAGTGTTCTGTGGCTGAACACAGGGAAATGCTGGAGGGGAGGAGCTGGCCTCTGTGTGTCAAACCCAGCTGTCTACCATTCTAATGACTTCCCACTTGCATCACCAGCTCACTCAACTGGGGCCTGTCCCCCAGGCTGGGGAGTGGGGCCCTTAACAGAAATCGGCTTCTCCTACCTCCAGATATTGAATAGCACATAAAATACAACACAAAGGCTGAGTCCAGACAGCAATGACCTTCACTCTTTCATTAAACATTTATTGAGCATCTGCCCTGTGCCAGACATTGTGCTACATATGTGGTGAATGTACAGATGAGTTAAGAGTCACATCCTGCCTGCCTGCCCCATGGAGATGGCTCTAGCAGGCCAACAGATACATGTGAATAACTCCTTACTCTTCAGGGCAGGCTGGGAGCAGTGCTGTAACAAAGGCACCTTATTACTATTCCGGATGCAGCCCAGAAGAATGAGATTAATCCCCAACAGGTGGGTAGGGGAAGGCTTCATGATGGATGGGGCATTTGAAGTGAGTCTTGTATTCGCAATGTCTTCTGCACCATGACCCTGTTTCATTCTCAGTCCAATGATGCAGGCAGGGATTACGTCCCTTTGTCAAATGGGACATCAGGACTCACAGAGGTTGCGTGACCAGTCAGAGATCACCCAGTGGGTCCATGGCAGCTCTGCATGGAGCCTGTCTGAGTCTTGGGGCAGTGTTGTGCCATCCTGCTCCTTAGGAGAGTAGGCGGGCCTGGGAAAGGCACTGCACCTTGGCTAGCTCCCTGGCGGGTGCTCAACAGGTACAAGAGCACAAAGGGGGCATCAGTCCCAAATGAGGGGCTATGGTCCAGTGCAAGAGCACTCCCCGAGGAGCTCCTCTTTCCAGCCACTATGACTGTCTGTATTCGTCGCTGGGGCTCCCGCAAGAGTACACAGCCTTGCCACACACGGGCGCATCCATCCTCATTGGGACATGGTCAGCTAGGCTCAACAGGAGGACCACAGAAAACCACTCCTCCCTCGCTGCCTGTTTCTGCGGGGCTCAGAGCTCAAGCCTTGGCTCCGTTAGCCTTATTTCCTAACAACAAACCCAGAGGCTGGGTGAGGAGGAAGGACTAGTACCAGTGCCCAGACACCGCTTTGCAAAGCTGATGTCCTTTTATCACTGCAACCACATACCAGCACGGCAGGCAGGTGTTTTCTCCATCTTGCAGATAAGAAAACTGAGGCCTGACAAAGTTCTGTTATTCCCCAGGAGATGCTCACGGGTTTGACTTGAGAAAGAAAAGACTCATAAAGAATTTATGACAATTCCTAACACATGGTAAGTGCTCAATAAATGCTAGTTGTTTTGGTGATGATGTTGCTTTTGTTAAGCATTAGTATCTCGTCTATCTTTATGGAAGGTGATGGAAAATGGATTTCTCTGTGCAGAAATGAGCCTCATGAAGTTCATGGGAAGCTTCTCTTCTGCAGGAGGGCTCTAACCTGGGCTTTACCTGTGGTCAATATGGGGGTGGGGGTGGGGTGATTCAGAAAGGGCTCCTCTGGAAAACTGGAGGCAGGTGGAGGCACGAAGTATTGATGGTTGGAATTAACAGCAATTGGAGAGGAGTGCATGACAGAGAGATGAGCGTCAGGGACAGCACTTTGGGGCAAGAGAAAGGGGCACTGGCCACAGCCCAGAGAAGGCTGCATGCATTAGAAAGACCATGTTTAGATAGCAAAGAAGACAGGGCCTTGTGAAGCATTTTTGGTATAATAAATATTCAATTGGCCACCATGAATATTCAATTAGGCAGAGATTTGCAGATAGGCCCTTAAGGGAGTTGGAACTGATAGGGGCGCCTCACTTCTTTCAAGACTCTCCCAATGTCGAGGGGGCATAGACCACAGCAGAGGCCCAGATGAAATGGTAGGTGGAGGCTAAGGGCAGAAGCCTCGGTGAAGAGCAGTGGATGAGTGACAGCTGGCAGGCGCTGAGCAGCTGCTAGGAAGGCTTGAAAAGCATCACTTAGTTGACCGGCCAGGCCACGCAGTAGAATTGTGGGCCTTGTTATTTCCATGTGTGCATGGCTCCCTACAATCTTTAGGTGGTATTTTCCTGCTTGACAGGTTCTTATAAAATCACAGGAATACAGCATGAGGAGAACATTAAAGAGAGACCCCAACTGTGGACGGGCTGTGTGGAGGGGTGTGGCAAGGCCGTGGTGGGGACCCAGGTGCAGGCCCCTGCCACCTCCAAGGACACCCTCAAGGTTGTTCCTTCACTTCCTGGCTTCTGAGACAATTTCATCAGAGGACATGGATCTGCAGCTATGAAGTAAAATGTTGGAAAATAGCTCTCCCGTCCACACACATTATTTTTATGGATGTGGCCTCTGCGAGCTGGAAAATGGCTGCATCTTGTCTAAGGTGACAGCAGAATCCAGGTTGAGACTCGGTTGTGCTCACTCCCAGTCCAGACTCTGCTCATTTCTGTCTTCGAAGGAGGGTGTTCATGGAGCCACTGCCAGGTTATTTGGTACCTTTAGGTGAATTAGAAAAAGGGAGACTCCTCTGGGTGGCCACAACCCCAGTGAGCAAAAGCCTCTCCCTGCCGGGTGCCTCTGTGCAGAACACAGCCTGTACCACCCTCCACGGTGAGAAATTAGAAGGGACCTGGCGGGCCCATGGTGCCACTGATACATTCTCCTTCCTCCTTCCAGTCTTCTGTCTCCCACTCACTCGCTTTTTAAAAATATGCATTTAGTAAATGCCTCATCCATGCACAATAACATCTTCCTGACTCATCTGGTAAAGATTACCACTCGAAAGGTAAGGGGGTGGGTTTAAATTTACAAAGGGCTTTTCCAACCGTGACAATTTGAAGTTGCTGGAGTGAGGTGGGGAGACTGGGAGAGAGCGGGAGACGGGGAGAGAGGGTGAGGGTGCTTGGAAGACAGTATGGACTTCCGTACTTGGATCTCCATGCTCAGACTGCAATCCTTCAGGCTCAGCAGGAGACAGTGGGTTAGCTCTGATACAAAGGAGGTTTGGAGAGCATCTTAAGATGCCGTTTATTGTTTTGCGTGTAGAGAGACTTCTGAGAGCTCCCTGATGACTACAAGGGTCTGGAGGTGTGCATGACCGCAGACGCAAACAGCCCCCAGTCAGTGACCCCTGGGGGCCATACCCTTCCAAAGTGGAATGCAAGCCCCCTCCCATGCTTTCTGTGGAGGGTGGGGATGTCTCGGAGAGAGAACTCTAGAGTGGGGTGAGAACTGGCATTTCTGGGCTGTTCTTGGAGCAACCTGTGTTGTTCTCGTGGGCTTCGTTTTGTGCAGGCTCAGTACATATTCACTGAAGAAAGAAAGAGATTTGTTCTCCTAAGGAAGTAAAAGCCCCTCCTTTCTCACAAATTTCCTTATGCCACTACCATTTTTTAAACTCACACTTATATGGTGTTTGCTGTGTGCCAGGCATGGTGCAGGGTATTTCCATGCAGTGACTCATTTGATCCTAATCTTAGGAGGTTAGTACNTTTACTCACGAACTGATAAGTCTAGGAACCTTTCTTTCGTGAGTCTTAGTCCACAGCCGGCTCTGAGTCAGTGGAGGACCGAGGCTGCCGCACACGTTGGCGGGGGTGGGCGGGGGTGGAATTGGCCTCCGCACCACGAAAGATCCATCCCGGAAGTAGTTGTTGGTCGTCTCCATGCGCCGGTTCCTGGGCGCCGTAGAGTCAAGGCGCGAGGCTCGGACAGGGAGGTAGAGCTGGAAGGGACGCTAAGCGTCCTCCGCTCTGCACGCGAGCCGCTGCGCCCGCGGGGCTGGCCCCGGCGCCACCATGCTGCTCCTGCCGAGCGCTGCGGACGGCCAGGGCACCGCCATCAGCCACGCTCTGACCTCTGGTACGTGCCCGCTCAACCCCGGCTCCGTCCCACCTCAGCAGTCCCAGGTTCAGTCTCTCGCCTTGGCGGCCCGAAGTCTCTCCACTCTTGCCCCTGGCCACTAACTCTCCGACTTGAGGGTCTATGACGAATGCCATTTCGTTACCTGCTTGCTGGAACCCTTCTTCAAATCGGAGGAAGGAGGGAAGGGGGTGGCTTTTTTCTGCCCTTGCAGTTTCCTCCCCCTCTCTCGGCTGCTGACTCACGGATCATGAGGAGCAGTTCGGGACCGAACCCCCCAGTACCTAAGAAGGTTTATAATCATCTTCTTGCCTACGGCACAAACCGGCCGCAGCGAGTTCCCCACGTGCTCCTACAAAGCCTCGCTGCCGGTGCTGTGTTAAACATCTTTCTCTCTCTTTACGTTTGCCCGGCTTAGGATTTTAAATGTCAGAACTCAGACATCGCTCCTTATACTTAGGATGAAAAGATTATTGCCTTTATTGCTGGTATAGATACGTATAGACACTTTTAAAGGCAATCATGAAGTGAAACTTGTACTGTTGCTGTAGGTTCTTAGATCTATAATCCAGAACGGCGGTCGGTATTGTAAATTTAGAACCTCTGGTTTAAATGATTTACGTGAATTACCATAGCTACTTATATAGACTCTCGCTGAATGTGATTTTGAACGTTGTCTCATGACACATGTTGCGTTCATGCTCATAGAAGTCTCTGTGGAATCTTAAAACGAGGGACAGACTTGAAAGGTGCTGTTCTTAAAAGCCACACCCACACTATTCAGGTAATACTTCTTGAACACAGAGTTTGAATCCTGTCCTATGTATGGTAGAGAAAATCTTAATTTCCCAAACCAATTAAGTTGTGAAAAATCAGTTACTTTTAGAAAATTGTGGCCATTGGGTACAAGGGAAGGCTTACATCTGAGTTATTACTGAACGGAGTAAAGCTTTTTGCTTTCATATAGGATATGAAATTACAATTAAGATGTTCGCCTTTTTTGCTGACCCAGATTACCTTTTTTGAATTGTTAACATGTAAATGTATAGTTTTTAACCCCCCACTTCCCACGTTTTTTACAACAGTTTGTGATTATCAGAGTGTTTTCACCTTCTGTCAGTCTTCCAAGTAACCATGTAAGATAGGTACTGTTCCCATTATACAGTTGGTAACACCTCGGAATCATTTCACATAGCTACTAAAATGTCATACCCAGACTAAATCCAGAGCTTCTGATTCCAGATCCAGGTTTGTTCCACCATAGCACAGCTGTGTTACTAAATCTCCATTAGCTGCTTGGAAAATTGTCTTTCAGAACAAGTCATTGATAATGAATTAATACAAACTTTAAAAGCTATCCGAATGCAAGGTTTTCAGTTGTTTTAGAAGATATTTTGCTTTTGATGAGGATAGCTCTTTAGGACAGTTTATTTATTGCTTTACTACAGTTACTGGTCTATGAGTAGTTTGCAACATTTCTCTCTTCATCTTCTCATATCCAAAGAGAAATATTGATCTCTTGTTGGCATTGCTATTTTGTTTTGTTACATAACGGGAAGAAGTCGATTGAGTACTCTGTAAATACTAAGAAATGAGTATTTATTGCTAACCATGTTACTGGATTACAGGCACACCTCATCTTATTGTGCTTGCCAGATACTCAGTTTTTTACAAATAGGTTTGTGGCAATGCTGCAAGGCTGTTGGTGCCATTTTTCCAACAGCATTTTCTCACTTCATGTCTTTGTGTCACATTTTGGTAATTCTTGCAATATTTCCAAACTTTTTCATCATCATTATTATATTTGTTATGGTGATCCAGGATCAGTGATCACAACTCACTGAAAGCTTAGATAATGGTTAGTAGTTTTTACCAATAAAGTATTTTTTAACTAAGGTATGCACATTTTTGTTTAGATGTAATGCTATTGCATGCATGCACACTTACTAGATGATGGTATCGTGTAAACATGACTTTTATGTGCACTGGGAGACCAAAAAATGCATTTGATTCAGTTTGCAATATTTGCTTTATTGTGGGGTTCAGAAACTGAACCCACAGTATCTCTAAGGTATGCCTGTAATTAAATTACTTCTTAATTGATGGGTTTAAAATTATGTTCTGCTGATACCAGTTTTGATCTTATTTATTTCCTTGAAACAGATGTATTCTATGCAATACATTGAAGCCTCTCTTAACACTTTCAATCACAGCCTCAAAACTCTGTCAAGTTGAACCTGTGGGAAGATGGTTTGAAGCTTTTGTTAAGAGGAGAAACAGAAATGCTTCCTCCTCTTTTCAGGAACTGGAAGATAAGAAAGAAAGAATTATCAGAGGAATCAGAAGATGAAGAATTGCAGCTAGAAGAGTTTCCCATGCTGAAAACACTTGATCCCAAAGACTGGAAGGTATCATTTAATATCTGAATCTTTCTTTCAATCAGATGCTTTACTAGATACAGTCTCCCCATGCGTTTTCCATTAATAAACCATTATTTTCAGATGCTTCAACAGGATAACCCTGATTGAGCACCTATTTCTTACTAAGCCCAGAGTAGGATAGTACAAGCCATAGGATACTTTCTCTGCTGGAGAAATCCAGGAAGATTTCACAGAAAAGATATTATTTGAGATGGCCTTAAAAAGATGAGTGGCAGTTTGTGAAGCAGAGAAGAGAGACAGTGCAGGCTGGGCAGAAGGAAAAGACACAAAGGAGTAAAAGAATATGTCCCACCTGTTTAGGGATTAGTGAAGAGCAGGGTAGGGTGCTTGAGGGGTGATGGTGGGAAATCAGGCCTGTAACAGATTCTAGACCAAACTCTGTAGTGTCCTTTTTAATGGCATACAAAGGAACAAATTCAGGTTTTTGTTTTCAGGACATAGGAAGTCATCAAAAGTTTACAAGCTAATTTTGGAAAAGTAATTCTGGCAGTTAAGAAAACTGCTTGAAAAGGGAGGGCAGGGCTAGAGGGGAAATGGAATAGTTTGCTGTCATTGGGTTAGTGCAGTAACCCAGGCCTCTGGCTGAATGCTTGAACTAAATTTGTGGCTGGGTTTTAAGGAAGAAGGGACAGATTTGCTTTTTTTTGGAGGTAGACTTGATAGGACTTGGTGACCTTGGCTGAGTGGAACATATTCAGAAGACCCTCTGAGCATCCCAACTTGAGTGACTTGCTAGAGTGTGTTGTCAGTCATCAACACTGGGGTGCAGGAAAAGGAAATTTGTGGGGATTGTGGTGTCTGTGTTCAAGTTTGGCTATGCCAGAATTGAGGTTCTGGTAACATACTGGTGAAGCTTTCTAGTAGATGGTTAAAAATGGGTCTGTGACTCTGAAAAAAGAATGGAGAGAACCACAAACATTTGCAAGTCATTGGCACATAGGGTAATTGAGGCTGTGGGGAAGTGAATGGCATCAGCCAAGAAGAATATGGAAAAATAGGTATCATAAAACTTCAGTAGGTAATAATATAATACTTAAATATATACTGTGGAATTAAGAGTACCTGAATTCAAACCTGGCTCTGCCCATTTAGTGTGCTGGGCCCTCAGGAAAGTTGCTCAACATGTCTGTTTGGTGCAGTGAGATTGCTAACAGTGCAAAGGATTTTATGAGGGTTAATAGAAACGATGCATATGAAGCACTTGACCTAGTCTTTGAGACATGATAAATACTTAACAAAATTCCTATCTCATAAGTTATGAGGATTAAATGCAGTAAAGCATATGTGTAAAGCATTTAGAATGGAAATGAGATTCAGAATGTTAGCTGATCTCCTACTGTCATCATCAATTTCAAAAGAAAAGGACTGAACCTTGAAGAGCCTGGCTGTCTGAGGGGTGGGTGCGGGTAGGGGAGAAACAGCCAAAGATACTAAGAAGGGTGAAAGAAAACAAAGAAAAAGGTGTTGTTAGTTCAACAAAGGTTTGTTAAACATCAGGCATTAGACACTTCTAGAAACTAAGGGAGAGGAAAGTGTCACGAAGGAAAAAACAGCAGTGTTACTGCTTTGCAGAGAGGTCAGTCACATAACATGAATTATGACAGAGCCACTGGGCTTGGCAAGCAAAGGTTAGGGAACCACATTGGAACGGGTCCAGTAAATGGTTGGGGTAGCAAGAAATTGCAGTGAGTTGAGGAGTGACTGGGAGGTGATGAGGTAGAGACCTGAGTGTAAACTACTCTCTTTTACAGCTAGGTGGTAAAGAAAATGAGAGAAAATAGTAACTTGAGGGAAAGGCAAGGTCAGAGAAGATAAAATTAGGGAGCATTGAGATCTGCAAGGAAGAAAAAAGAAAGAATGGGGAAGGTCTTTGGTATGGAAAAGAGTTGATGACATCAGCAAGTATCAGCATTCATAGACTGGTTCAGATTCGGTTTCAGTCAACAGATGAGGATCAAACATCTGCTCCGTGTCACACACTGTTCTCGATGCTGAAGGTGCTGTGCTGAACAAGACGGTATTCCGCCTTCCACAGAGCATCAGTTCTAGTGCAGCGCGCGGAGTGGCCGCTGAGAGGAGGTTGAAGAAGTAGAACAGGGTGCTGTCATAGTGTCCAGATGGCTGCTCTAGACTGAGTAGATGGGGAAGGCCTGTGGAGTTGACGTTTAAGGTAGCACGTGAATGATGTGTGAAGATCAGAAAGAGTGGTGTTCAGACAGAGAACTTGTGCAGAGGCAGAAGTTTGGAAGGTGCCAGGAACTGAAGGAAGGCAAGTGGCTGAAACAGAGGGGGGGAGGGAAGAACAGGGAGTAAGAGTAGAAGTCAGTGGAAAGTCACTGGACAGTTTGAAGCAATGACAATTGTTAAGCAATTGGGAGGAACCAAAAAAAGGCGGGGGGTGCCCAAGATGGGGAGAGAAGTTGTCTATTTTAAATAAGGTGATGACTTTTCAGCTGAGACTGAAGGATGAGACGATAACAGGCACATGGAGAGTGGCAGGAAAGTGCGAGGCAGGGGGAAGAGTGTGTGTCTTCAGTGACTTGACACATCAATCTTGTGTTTGGAAATAGATGACCAAGGTAGAGTGACAAGCCAGGATGTGAGAGAGGCGAAGGTACTCTGTGCATCTAGATCTCAGAGGAGAGGTCTGCGCTCCAGTGAACTAGGGAGTCCTGAGCATATACAGGGAATTTACTGTGTTCTAGCTCTGGCATTGGATAAGATCAACTAGGACCAAAGTGTAAAGAGAGACAAAAAAGAAAAGGACTGAGCTTTGCAGGTTACAGAGAAGCCAGTAGAAGTGACTGAAAGACTCCTGGAAGGTGGGAGGAAAACAGAGTGGATTCACAGAAACTCAAGGAAGATAATCTTTCAAGGGAGGAGTCAGCTGTGTGGCCACTGGAGACTGAAGTCAAGTGAGAGCAGATGAGTGATCTTGGATTTGGCGCCTGGAGGTTGATATTGAAGAGACCAGCTTCATAGCATGTGGGATAGGAGTGGACAGAGCAGAACCAGATGGGAACAGTTTGAAAAATGAATGCTATGGGAGTAAAAATGTATGGACAGCTTTTTTCAAGAAGTATAACTCTGATGGGCAGCAGAGAAATGGAGCAGTAACCGGAAAGTGGGTCATGGGAGAGTTTTTAAAGATGAGCAATAACAAAGCACCTTTTTATACCGATGAAAATAATCCAGTTGAAATTTAGGAGATAACAAAAGTGCTAGTATTTGAGGTGCCTTAGAGTAAATGGTATTCAGGCCAAGAGGAAGGGTAAGATAACTTAAATTTTTTAGTTAAGCAGCAGGCAAGGGTGGTAAAGGGTCTGTGAAGTTTGAGGGAAGATTAGTGGACAGATATATCAAATAGTGGCCTAAGGGAGAGGAAAAAGTAAGGGGGCTCATCTGTATGAAGTTTGCAATCCTGAATTTAAAGGGAAACCAATCAGCCCTATGTGACTTGTCTCCCCTGTTTCACGCCATCAATTCCCCTTCCTCTCTACTCATTCTCTAGTACTGGATACATCCTCCGAGTCTGTATAGAGCCTTGACTACAGTTGCTACTTCAACTTCTAAATTTTCAAGGATGTTAACCAAAGATGAAAGCAGGTGCACTTGTCCAGAGAAGCCTCATCCCTTAGTTTCTCAAAATTTCCTTCCAACCTGCCTTCTTTGCTCCATATTGTTCTTAGTCCCATTCTATCACTGACACTGGCCCAGTCCTCTGGGGCAGCTATAATGCTCCCCTCAGTTCTCCAATCTTCCAGGCTATTCCTTGATTTAAGTATGGCCATATGATATTAATAAGAGTTAAGAGAAAAAAGGGTTCTGTAGTCAAATAAGTTTGGAAAATGCTGGGTTTTACAGGTTTCTGTTTGCTTGTTTATTTAATTGCAGGACTTCTCAGAGCCTTTATCAGGCTTATATGCATACAAATCAAGAAGACTATACAAAAATCTGCATTTCCCAAACTTATATACCACAGAACCATCCTACACAGAACATCTCACTGGACCCCTATTGTGGGAGTATTATTTTGGGAAGCACTATTTTAGGATACCAACACATGGGATAGGTTATATTGCTCCGTTTCAAGTGTGACTCTTTTGTGTCTTTATCAGAACCAAGATCATTATGCAGTACTTGGACTTGGCCATGTAAGATACAAAGCTACACAGAGACAAATCAAAGCAGCTCGTAAGTACCTAGTTATTTTGAAATAATAGCTGGTCAGGAAATGTTATCTTTTTGAAAAGATACGCAGGATCGTAGTCTGTAATCTAGATTTAACCACATGTGTTAGTGTTATATGGTTATAACAATGTATAACCACAGTCTCCTTTACCTTCGCAACCAGAAAAAGATGATCAGTGTCATGCATGGACTTTCTCATTAGAGAGTAAAAATCAGGGAGTGAGTATCTGTGTTTGTGTCCAAGATGAGAACATTCTTTAATGGCAAGCTTTTACAAAATAGTTCCTCTCTTTACTTTTTGCACCTCCCTTTAGAAGTATGCCAGCTGTATTTGTTGGAAGCTGTCTTGTTAAATAGGTTTCTTTGATACTATTTTGTGATCTTAGGTCATTCTTTTACTGATGTCATCCTGTCTCTTCTGCCCAAGAAATAGTTATCTGACACTTCATTGTTCTTTTCATTGACGAGGTTAAAAATTTGGGGGGGCATTGTTGAGAACCTGGTCTTCATGTACCTTATTATACACCGTCTCCTTAGTGTTCCTGAATGTCCTGTCTTTTGCATCCCTGTGGACATAATTCTGTAGACCATCTGGTTCACCTAATTAATAAAGTGTAATGAAAGAGGCGAAGGTGATTGGTATTCCATGCTTCTCTTAGGAGAATGTCCTGCCCCCCACTCTAGAAAATGGATATTGAGGTCAGAGGAGGTAAGATTGTGGTCATGTGGAAAAGTAGGAAGTCAAGGCCAGTCAAGAAGAGAAAGTATTATATTTGGAGGAAGATGGCTGAACGAGACCTGTGTCATGTTGAGAAACACTTAGTTGAGACTGACTTTAGTAGATAAACTCAAAATTTTCTCCATTAACCTTATATTTAGGAAAATCACGGGAAAGAAACAGGGTGAAGGAATTCATGAAATTATTTTAGACCTACTATTGGATTTCCTTACCTGGCATCACTTTAGATTAAGCAAATGTTAATGCATGTGAATAATCATTGCAATATACATAAATGCCAAGAAAATTCATTTGCCATGGGAAAGTATTTTCAAAATCTTACTATATGAAAAAGTATCATATAAATACTAAATATTTCTGGATACATTTTTGAAAGAATTAGAAGTGTTTTAGAACTATGAAAGTAGTTGGCATCTGAAGGTGAAGGAATTGTTTCTTTTAAGATAAAAAATGTACAATAAATTATAAACGGAACATGTTTGCTAAAAAGAATTCATAGTTTTTATTGGCATAATAGAAATTAATTTTTGAATTCTCTGTAGCCAAAGGTTTTCCAACCCTAGGGTACAGATCGTTGACATTAAATGGAATTATAATTCACTCTTTGCCACCATGTTTAATATCCTTAGTATTTATTCAGAAGGAAACTCTTTGTCTTCTGTCACTATAAAATAGACAGTTGCTACTTACTGCTTTCTGAAATTTAGTCCAAAAGTAGAAATGCAATTTAGTGTTTGCAAATCTATAGTTACCAGGACAAAACTAATGAAAACAAGTCTGATAGCAATGGAGGTCCTTGGAGTTCTTGTATCCTATTACGAACACACACATAAAAGAGTTTTATTTTTGTTTAATGTATTTTGAGTCACTATCATGAAATTTAGTAAGTTAATTAAGGGTGAATAAAATAAGTGCTTTTTTTCCCCTTCTCTGTCTTACCTAAGAAGAACAAATTACTAGAAAAGTTGAATAATGGGTTAAAAGAAAGTACTGAATACTTAAGGTGGTATTTTGGTTGCTAAGCTAATTTGTTCTTGAAGTAAAACTGCCACACTGGCAAATGATGCATGTAGGCTTGGTATTTTTTGCATGGAGGTAAAGTCTTTGGGATTTGAATTTTCTAAATTTAATAATTTTAGTTTAAGATATTTCTGATATTTTAAACTGAAAACCTTTATATCAGGCTTCTTATGAATTGAAAATCATACTTAGAGACATTTTATAATAGCAATATAAATGTCAATAAAAGCCCCTTTGCTGACGTACCTGCAAAACATCTCAGAAACTCTTTGGTGGAGGGAGGAGAGGAGAGGAGCAGGATGTCTTTGAAATTTCAGAGAACTTAAAACATCTGCTCCTAAATTACCCTTGTTCCTTTTTCAAACTGAAAGTGTTCTTTGGCTTCCTTTACTTTGTTTTTAATATTAGATAACGTATTTTCCCTGCCCAGGGACAGAGTATAGGACAATCTCAGGAACCCCTACTGTGTGAGTAAAGATAATTAGGATGACAAAAGACAATTAGGCAGAAAAGAAAATGAAGGAAAAAACAGCTCAGCTTAAGAGGAGAGAGGAGACTATGCAACAGAAACTTGAAACATCACCTCTCTTAGCCTTCAGCACAAAGTTCAAAAGAAAACTTAAATATCTATTACATGCCATCAGGGAGCTATGAAGCCATTGCATGGGGGGTGGGGTGGCAGTGTAGGTATTTCAGAAAGAGGATAGGGAGAAATAAGTAGAATTGCCTGGAAACTAAAAGCATAAGAGCAGAATTTAGAACTACTAAGGCTGATGTACAAATAGAAAACACAGTAAAGCAGAGGACAACCTTGAGGAATATTCCCGACGTTCATAGGGAAAGAAAAAAGAGATGCTAGATATCCCTAAAGAAGTCAGAATAAATGTAACAAACAATAATTGCAAATAAAGAAGAAAACTTAGCTGATTTATCAAAAGATACATCTTGAGATTGAGAATGTTTGTAGCATGTATATGTGTGACTTAGGTTTTACTACTCAGCACACACATAAAATTCAGAGGAGAACAGTGTGAGTTAAGCTGAGCTGCAGAGAATCCATTTTGCCAGCCATGGTGGGAGAGTACCTCAAGCTAGTGGCTTTCCCCACTGCTGCCCTGGCAGGAGAAGCAGCCTGTGCAGAGTTCCTGCAGCACCCAGCAGCAGTCAGATCATCACACCTGTGCACTCGCCAGCATAGTTTTGATTACTGTTCCTTGCTGCAGAGCTTCCAAGCCTGAGTTTGACTCTCACAGAGAATCTATAAGTCTAATAACCTTTAACAAATTATTTTTCTGCTTAAGCCAGCTAGAATGCAAAAATGCCTCTATTAAATAACATACTTCTGAGTGTTGGAGGAACTGATAATATGCTCAACTATAAAAACTTGAAGCTCAAAAAACCAAAAATTTCTGTTTATGAAATGCATCTCATTCAAAAGTAACAGTTTCTAAAGTCTTGCTGTATATGCAGAAATCACTAAGTTTAATATACCATAAAAAGATTTGTACAAAAATGTCCATAACAGCTTTATTCACAATATCCAAAAACTGGAAACTCCCCAAATGTTCACTAACAGGATAATGGATAAGCAAACTGCTGTATTTTCAAACAGTGGAATAGTATTCAGCTAAAAAAAAAACACAAATTACTAATATATGCAAAAATGGTGGTGAATCTCAAAACATTGTGTTGAGCCAAATAAATTACATACAAAGACATACTGTATGATCCCATTTAATGAAGTTCAGAGACCATGCAAAAGTAATCTCTGGTGATAAAAATCAGAATGGGCTGCCCCAGGTGGTAGAGGGTAGGAGTTGACTGGAAAAAGTTAAAAAGGAACTTTATGGGTGATGGAAATGGTCTGTATTTTCTTTTCAGTGGCAATTACGTGGATGTGTACAATTGCCGAAATGTACTGAGCTGAATACTTACAATCTGTGTGTCTTATTCTATGTAAGTTTTATGTCAATAAGATAGATGTGGTTAACAAAGCAAAAAAAAGTTTCTTGGGAAAGTAAATATATTATTTTGGGCCTAGACAGATAAAAAAATACATTAATAGATTCTTTTTGCAAAAGTAAGATCACTGCTTATCAAAACTTAAGGGATGTCAGAGCTATACCATCGGTGAGGTCATTGCCTTGAAGTATGGTGTTACATTTTTAAAAAGAGGGAAAAATGAAAAAGTCATTCAATTCAACTGCTGAAAAGAATTGAACAAAGGAGCATGGAGGAAGAAAATAGAGATATAAACAGTATCCGAGATGGATTTACAAGAAGAAAAAATAGTGAACTATAGAAAGAAAACCATTACAGTAAATATTTTTGAGACCACTATTAAATGCAACAAGTTAGAAAATTTTGACAAAATTAACAATTTTGAAATTGAAAGGAATTTTAAAAGTTACAAAAGAGTTACCTCCTAAAAATATTTTTAGGCCCAGGCGACATTTCAGGTGAATTGCCTCAAATATTTAAGGAATTGAAAATTCTCATGCCGAACATATTTGGAACACTTTATTTTGTGTTGTGAAGTAATGTAATCCTAGTATGAAAACCTGGCATAGAAAGACAAAACTGTGGAGACAGTGAAAAGATCATGTTTGCCAGGGCTTGGGAGGTAGAGGAAGATGAACAGGCAGAGCACAGAGGATTTTCAAGCAGTGAAAATCCTCTGTTTGATACTTTAATGGAGGATACATGTCATTAAACATTTGTCCAAACCTATAGGATGTACAGTACCAAGATTGAACCCTAAGGTGAGCTCTGGACTTGGGGTGATAAATGATGCATCAGTTCTAACAAATGGCCTGCTCTGGTCAGTGATGGAGATGATGGAGACAGGGCAGTGGGGGGCTATCCATGCATGTGGTGGGGTAGAGAGGGCATATAGAAATCTCTGTACCATCTTCTCGCTTTCGCTATACACCTAAAACTAATCTAACTTTAATTTTCTTTAAAAATAATAATGAATAAATAAGTCTTTAAAACCTGGCAAAGAGAACTTTACTCCAAACAAACCTCATCCATGAATGTAACACCCAAAAGAAAAAAATTCCGGTTAAAATAACAAATTGAATTTAACAGTATATTAGAAGACTAATACCTGTGAACAAGTAGCATCTTTCTTAGGAACCCGTCTTAGGATATATATTAATGTATCTAGAAAAGGGGGGGACTATATATAAATCAATTCGGTTTATAGCTTAGGTAGTATGATTTCCTAACTAGATAATCAAAGTATGTACAATACAATTTAATATACACTCCTTTTTAATAAATAGAACTTTTTTTAAAAATCTAGTTAATTCCATACTTTGATAAGTATTTCAGACCCACACCCAAAAAACTTTTAACCATGTGGCATTAGTAATATTACTGTTAAAATCCATAGAGGAAGCTAACCTGCCCACTATTTTTTATGCTATTTTGGGAGTGTGGATTGGCAAATGAAAATATTAAGTAAGAGAACTGTTGTAAAGAAAGAAAGAAATATATTATTTGTAAATAATGTAGAATCTACCTAGAAACTAATAGAAATATAGGATCTACCTAGAAATGTAGGATCTACCTAGAAACCTAGTCAAGTGGCTAGATGCAGGAAAAGTAAGACAGTTTTTGGAGGAAGTTACCACCAAATATATTAGAAAGCTGTAGTCATTTTAAGGATAATCCTGGGGCAAGAATACATAACGAGAAACAAACCCTGGTAAAATTTACCATGAGAAAGGAGGCATCATAAACCACTGGGGAAGGGAAGGATTATTAGATGATTATTAGGACTCAGAATGATAATTTTAGATATTTGCTTGCCTATACTAACATTCCAAAAAGATTTGAGGAATTTTTTTAAATTTCCAATTCTAACCATAGAAAATATTAATGAACCTAAAAGCATATATCATATTTAGGAGAAGGAAGCACCTTCTAAATTTATATACAGTAGAAGAAATTATAAAGGAAATTGGATCAGTAAATAATAAATAAAAATGACTGACTATTTTTAAAATCAGTAATGACAGCAGTTGGGGAAGTCATTAGAATCAAACATGACAGACCAGGAGAGGCAGCATATGGGGACAGGCTGCCTAGGCTGGAGCCCAATTGGGCCAGGAATTGGGACAGGTTGCCATGGTTGTGGTTTCTTAACCTCTCTTTGCCTCAATTTCCTCATCTATAAAATGGAGAAATAATAGTACTTTCCTTTTGGGTTACTGAGAAGATTGGTAAATAGGGCCTGGTACATACTAAATGCTCAATGGATGTTAACAACTAGCCTTTCTTTATTATAAAGTGATTCACACAGGCTAAGAAGAAAAAGTAAGACAACCTCTCTTTCCTCCATAGAGGAAAGATAGAAACAAAACAAAAAACAAAATTATTTAGCACCAGTAATAGTTTTGAACAATTATACCCAGTGCTGGTGAGGCTTTGGTAAAAAGGATGTTCGCATACGAGTATGAAGTGGTATAACTTTTAGAAAGGAATTTGTTCCTACATTTTCACTCACTAGTTTTACTTCTAGAAGTATATCCAAAGAAGAAAGAATCCTAAGTATGGAAAAATACTTCTCTATAAAATGATTAAACTTGGTATTATTTATAATAGTGAGAAATTGGAAACAAGATCCAACAGTAGGAAAATAATCAAATTACAATAAATCTATTTGAAATACTGAACTAAGCAATCCTTCAAAAATAATGTTGGAGAGTTTGTAACATGCAAATGCTGTAATGTCAGGTTGCAAAAAGTAGATATAAATTGGTATATACAACCTGATTATACCTACATTTTTTTCAAGAGTCTGCATAAGGAAAAAAATTATGTGTGGAAATACACCAAAATCTTAACAGTAATTGTCTTTGAGTGCTAGCGTTTTGGCCAATTCATAAAATAATTAATTTTTTCTGTGTAATTCCTACATTTAGTAAGCTTATATTTTACCATAGGAGAAAGTATTTTTAAATTAGCACTATGATTTTAGAAATGGCTCATCTTTATTTTTAGGTTTGATGCCCAAAGTGACAAATGATCTAAATCTGGCTTATTTTGTAGATAAAGCAATGGTTTTAAAACATCACCCAGACAAACGGAAAGCAGCTGGTGAACCAATAAAAGAAGGAGATAATGACTACTTCACATGCATAACTAAAGGTAAGAAAATACTCCAGAGTCCAGAATTTCTAATAGCAATGATTATTTATGTATTTATTTTTAATGATTATTTATTAATTGCTGGGTTTGGGTTTCCAGTGTATCCTGTGGTTTATCTACCCATACCATGATGTTTTATAACATTCAGTTACATCCAATTTTTTCTGGTACTCTCCCCAGAGCCTTGCTACACAAAGTCAGGTCCTCCTAACCAGCAACAACAGCAGCCCCAGAAACTTGTCAGAAATGCAGGCACTCAGGTCTGAGGCTCTTGGGGGAAGCATGTTCCCATCAGGAGCAAATAAGCTGGTGTGACTGAAATCACTCGAGGGAAAGCACAGATTGGGAGAAAACCTTTTATTGCTCACAATGCATCCCAGCTCCATCCATTGCCTCTGCTGCGCTCTCACTCTGTCCCTGTGCCACTCTCTCTCCTTCCTCCCTGGTCCCCGCTAGCCAAAGCCTGCTTGGTGTTCCATCCCTGCAGCCACAGTGGTCATGGCTCCTGCTCACAGCTCCTGGTAACTGATAGGCACCAGACCAATTATGCAATGGAGGGAAGGAGAGAACAGCTCTCTCCATCCCTTGCCCCAGAGCCTGCAGGAAGCAGCGGTATATGTAAATAGACTAACATCAGGTGGAAGATTCTGGAAATTTACCCCACAACCCACCCCTCCAGAATTCTTGCCTTACAATCTACTTGCAGCCCCATATTCCACAGTGGCCCCTGTGCAAGAAAGCTGGAGCACTGTAACCAGACTAATAATATACAGTAGCAGCAGAAATACAGGTAGCAATAAAATCATGACAATCCTCAAGCCAGCTGGGTTCAAAGTCCTACTCAGATTAAGTCCATAGCGCACCCATTCCACAGCAGGCCCACAGCTGAACCAGCAGGGAGCTCTGTACACACTCAGCAGGCACCAACTGTAGCCATGAGGCGGGCCCAAGACGCAAGGACTGTGGAAGAGAATAACCTCAAAGGTGATAAGATACATGTCCAGCAGGTAGGATGCATGCAGGAGAGTGGTTCTATGATAGGACAGTGACAGGAATGGTATTTCGTCCTGGTCTGGTATACCAGACCTTCACCCCTTCCCTTTTGGAGTTACAGATGGTTCAATATATAGGGTTATAGGGGGAATGTGCACTGGCCACAAAGATAAAACTTTCCTATAAGATGCTTTTACCTCCCGGCTGTTTTGTGTACACTACATGATCTTTGGGGGCCACTCTGCTGTTATTCCAGGACTATACACGAGGCCAGCTTCCAGGCCTTTTCCCCAAGGTGCCAGAAGGGCCAGCCATCTCTAGTCCATGTGTCAAAATATCCAGGGCCATGTCCATTCAACAGAGTCTCCAGGGTTTAGTGCAGTTGGGGCTGGCAGCAGGATGTTGCTCTGCTGGCCATATCCTGGATTCAGTAACTCCTCTTCAGTTTGCACATATAGTTTTATAGGAGAGGCAGCAATGTGTGTTAGCATGTCCACAGGGCTCAATGCTACCTTCTGGGGCTTTTCATTGAAATGCCATAGCATTGTCCATAGGCAGACTGACCAGTGTTGTTAGACTGTTGGTGTCTGACTTCAGGCTAGATTTCAACAAACCATTGTACTTCTCTATCATACCTGCCCCAGTAGGGTTATATGGTTCATAAAATTTCCACCTTATCCCTAATTGCTGCAACCATCCTTGTAACGCGTGTCCAGTAAAGTGGATGCCTTGATTGCTTTCAATCATCTGCAGCCGGCCATAGGCTGCAGAGAGACACTCTAGGCCCCTCTTGGTCATTTGCTGATCTGCATGACGTGCAGGAAAGGCCACCAACAGGCCAGTAGCTGTGTCCTCATGAGTCATGGCATACCGATATCCTTCTGATATGGGCAGAAGCCCAATATAGTCTATCTGCCACCTGACAAGGGGTATCGGCCCCTTTACTATTGTCCCATGTTGCTGCGGGACTTGGTGTAAGTCCCTCTTAGAGCACACAAGGCACTCCCTCTGAGCTCTACTGACTTCTTCAGAGGTCAATGGCAAGCCCCACTGAAGGGCTATAGCCCACGTTGTCTTTTTCCCTGTGTGCAATAAATGCTGATGTAACCATCGGGCTACATTAGAAGCAGGCTTTCCTTCTAGCCAATGCACCTGGGCCAGTGTGTCTGCTTCATCATTCCCGGAGGATGCCAAAGGCAAATGATATGGTAGCTGTCTTAATCTGACCAGAGGCCCATAGGTCTTGCCACAACTCCAGCCCCCTCCCCTCAGAGGAACCGGTGACCAACACTCCAGTTGGCATGGTACCATGTCAGTAGCCACAGGGTCAAGCCCTGATAGACAGCCCAGCTGTCAGTACAGACAGTTATTGGGGAAGGCTTCTGGGTGATCACGGGTGATACTGCTCACAACTCAATCCATTGACTGCTCTTCCCTTCCCCATCCTCCATCCATATTGTCTGTCTTAGTATGGAAAGCCACAGTCCTCCACTTCAGGGCCCCCCCCAACTGGAGCCGTCTGTATACCAAGCACCCTCAGGTATAGGGGCTTTTCCCTCCTAATGAGAACTCTCAGCTACCTATGGCTCAAAAGTAAGTTCTTCCTGCTTTCCACTGGTGTATGTTACTGGCCCCAATAAGCATTGGAGTTCTCCACTTAAGGGGCTAGTGGAGAGGGTGCTACGCTGCTGTAAATATGTGCCCCCTTTGGCCAGTGTAAGTGTCTGAGCCATGCCACTCCGTGGCCTTTGGGTCCAGCCTCGCATCCACCTCACAGTGGAATAGGTGGTTATTCCCTTAGTTGGAGCTGTTCCAGTGATGGGCTCCATAGCCAGTAAGGTGTGGTACACAGCAGCCAGTTGCTTCTCTATCAGGGTGTACTGGACCTCTGCTCCTTTCCACAGTTGAGACCAGATTCCAGTAGGTTGACGGGTCCATTCAGGCTGCTGCCAGAGGCCCCATCCATAACCACCTTCGATTACATGAACATCTAGCTTACAGGGCCTTGATGGGTCCATTACACAAAGCCTGCACAGCCCTGACTGCTCGCTTAGCAACAGTAAAGCCAGATGCACATGTTTCATCCCAGTCCCACCTGATGCCCTTTCGTACCAATCAGTATGAGGACCTCGGAATTTGTGCCAAGTGTGGGATAACATTCTCCAGTAGCCCAAAAGACTCAAAAACTCTTGTAATGCTGCCACCGTTTTAGGGGTAGGGAAATCCTAGACTTTGTCTATGACTGCTTCCAGGATAACTTTAGTCTTACCCAACCAGACAACCCCCAAGAACTTTACAGACAAACCAGGTCCCTGAACCTTGGTGCTGTTCACAGCCCATCCTGTCTCCTATAGATGTGCAGCAGTCTAGGAACTGCACCTTCTAAATCTGCAAGAGAATCAGATGAGCATAGTATCATCAGTGTAGTGATGCAGCCGCACCATCTCTCGGGGCAGCGTGCTCAAACATCGTACCCATGAAGACAGATGTCAGGGTCACCAGTCCTGCTAACGCCAGATGTAGCTCTGGGGGAAAGGAGTGTTCCCAGCCCAGGGTGACTAAACCAATGTGACCAAATCAGTCAAAGGAAAGGATAGATTGGGAGAAAGCCTTTTATTGCTCACAGTGAGGCCTAGCTCCATCCATCCCCTCTAACTGCCACTCTCGCTCTACCTGCATGCCGCACTCTCCTTTCTCCCCGGTCCCCACTAGCCAAAGCTCACTTGGTGCTCTCCATCCCCTGCAGCCATGGCACCCAGGCGCTCCTGCCTGCTGGCCTCTCCACCCGCCCCTTCCAGGAGGAACTCCGTGGGCAGTCCTGAGCAACTGACAGGCACCAGACCAGTTATGCAACAGAGAAGAAGAGAGAACAGTTTCTCTCCGCCCCTTTCCCTGGAGGCTCTGGGAAGCAGCAATATATGTGAAAGAACTAAGGCCAGGCAGGAGATTCTGGAAATTTACCTCACGGGCCCCACCCCAGACCCACTGAAACTGCATTTTAAGGAGACCTGCAGGTGATTCATATGAGAAGCTCATCCTAGAGTTTATACAAGTGTTCCTAATGATGATAATACTGAGGTTTTTCTCCATTTCAGATATTTTGTGGGACTAAAGTGTTCCTTAGATGTTTTGCTAATTTATATCCTATCATGGGGCCCACACCTGTTTATTGCTGTTTCGATAACCATATCTTCACTATGCAAATTAATATAGTTACCATTTCTAAATGTTTCATTAAATGTAGTTTTGCATTTTTTGAAAATTGTATACATACCTTTCAAACTCACTAGCCCCATCTTACATAATGCTCCAGAAGCCTCACATTATTTGGTCTTTTACAGCCTTGGGATCTAACAGTTAATTTTCTAGCTATTTCTT